TTCTAAATGTACTGATGTTGCCAGTATTTAGACATTAAATTTTTCCATTGCCCTGACTCAAGTTGTGGACTTTCATAGATGTTTCTTTAGCAAAACCGAGCAACATGCTTTTCTACTTGATCTATTTCTTACCTCCTCCCCTCACTGTTGTCAAGCTTCGTAACACTGCCCTCTAGGTAATTCTGATCACTGTGGTAGCTATTGATATTTTGTTCCAGTCCTCTATTAAACAGAAACTCCCTATCCACAAGATCTCTTTCCATTACCAGCATACTGAATGAGACTCACTCTGATTTTCTGTGACACCCCTTGGACTGACATCTTTAAACTACCAAATTGAAAATTGTACCACTGAACACTTTCATCACTTCAGAAATACCAGGTGAAACCTCAATCCTCTCTAGACCGACATGCTCAGCCACTACAGCATACAAGACCCACTATTTTCAGCTATACCAGCATGACAGCTCTCACAACAGTCACCAATTCATTGTTGCTTGTAATAAATGTAAGAGAGCCCTCAAAAGAGCTAAATCCCTGTTTGCCAAGAGAATGAGGCACTGCATAGCCTCTAACAAATTTGGCCCCCACGATTACTGGTGGCTCTGTAATAGGGTATTAAATAAGTGTAAGGTCCTCCCTTATTTAATCAATATGAGGTGTTATCTTCTGCTGGTAAAGCTGAATGCTTTGCCTTAAAATTCTCTTCAAACTCTACTCTTGACTCATCCAAAATATCCCTGCCTAACTTCCCTCCTAAAACTGAGTCTGTTGAGTGATATGCATATAATCTCTTCCATGGTTTCTGCTATCATCTCTAACATAGATCCCCACAAAATATGTGGACGCAATGGTATCCCTGTAATAGTCATTACGAAGTGTGTTCTCTCTAAACTGTATAATAAACGCCTCGCTGCCTCTTACTTTCCTAGTATGGCAGCTTTGCAATCAGCAAATTGATTGGCATCATTTTTACCAATCACACTTGCTCATTTTGAGTCTTGTTACATTTTAATAAATCTCAACATTTCAGACCATCATCATTGAAATGCTTATGGTATTGCACATTGAACACAGTATAATATAAACATAAAAGTTATATTTACTGGAAAACCAAAAGATTTGTGACTGGCTTTAATGCCATAATGTGGAATTGAACCTGTAATATCTCAGAGATATACCGCAAAGAAAAATAAAGCTTAGTATATTTCATGGTATAAAGAACAAATGCTTGTTAGTTCAGAAAGTTTTTTTGTTTTGTAACATTTATAATGTCAGAAAGTCACATGGTTTGTCCAAGGTTTGGAAATAAATTGGCATTTCAAAGTGTACCCAGATATACAATGTCTATTTTATGAAAAAACACTTCTAGTAGAGAGAAGGTTGGCAATTTGGATTGGATATTCAGAATTCATCATAATGTTATCATTAACACTGCTTTTGGACAATTCTCTTTTCTTTACTTTCAGGATAGGTTACAGACAATGTCAGATTATGATCAAAACAATTGACAATGGGACCAAAGCAAACATGTGGCACTATTCTCCAAGACCAAAATTTTAAATTTTTCACTGGCCTCATTTTTTAATTTATTTGCATTTACAGCAATCAGGTTTTTTCACTCAGTTTGGTAGAGAATATACAATAAAAACAAGTATTTTTTTTTTTTTTAAATTCCTTAAGTTTATGAACTGTTCAAGGCTTCTTCTGTCTCAATTTTTGTTCTGTGGAAAAAAAAAAATTAAGTGAAACTAAATATTTCAGTACTGATTAAAATTAGAAAATTTATATGAACATTATTGGATACCAGAAGTAAATTTCTTTCCTCTTTTTGATTGTACATGAAGATTCATCAAAAGTCTCCTCTTCCATACATGATAAAGGTTGGTTTGGTTTGTTTTATGGTGTATCAACCTCAATGGATTATTTAATACCAACAAAATTTTTGTTGCTGGTAATATTTTTTTTTTCAAAAAATGTATTGCTGGTAATAATTTTTTATAAAAATGCATTGTTGGTATTACAACCTATTTTTACACTTTCATAGTATTTTGACTGCAGTTTGAGGGTTAACTATTTGGCCATAGCTGGGACCCTAAGAGGTGCTACCATCTTGGGTCAGGGTGGACCTGGGAACACCAGCAATTAAGAGGTGATTCCATACTCCTCAAAACCTCCTGATCAGAGGCCTTGCTGTTGGATGTAGTTTATTGTCTCACCCAGGATGACATGTTCAAGAATCTTGCACTTTAGAAAAGGTTTTAATAAATAAAAAAAATTAGTGATTGGTTAAGATGAGAAAAATAAGTATTCTCAGATAGCAATAATTATATATCAAATGTAAATTTCATTCTTTTCATAAACTCAGATTCAAATATCGAATAAACAACCAATACACCTACCTTAGTGTTAAGTCTGAAAAATCAAGTTATAACATCCTAGTGAAATCTTCCAACTTAATAGTGCTTTGTAATGGCAACAGAACAATGAGGAAATCGAATAATGAACAAAATCAAAACCTAAAATTTAATTATATACAGTTGCACTAATGTCCTCAAGCTTTAATGTTATTATCACAATGTTTTGGCTGCCATGTGTCCTTCAGGAAACTGGACCCTTTATTTAATCTAAAGGGTAGATTGTTCTCATTCTGATGTCCATGTTTAGGAATATGTTTTTCTATTTTTTTTTTGCTAGTTCTGTTTCTACAGAATCTGAGTATACTGTTGCATTCTATGTTGTCTCTGGATCACTACGCTACTACATAAAATGGTATCATTAAAAAGGACAATTTCTTTAGAGAAAACTTAGGTTTCCTGTTTCAAAAGCAAAATATATTTACACGTGTGATCTTCCTTAGGTTTATGATGAAAACATTTTCACTGAAAGTTTACAAAATTCAAGAAACGTACTTTTAATCATCGTTTATGTATGTGGTCATGTATGAGAGAGTATGTGAGTGAATAAAAAAAAAAAAAAAAATTTTAAAGAAACATTTTCCTTATGAAATTTTTTTGTAAATCACAGATACAACACTAGTAACGCCTTTGAGCAATACTCCGGTCAGACACCGCTAATTCCCATATATATATATATATTTTTCCTGTCACATGATCTAATTATTTTAAGATAAGGTCAACTGTGCTTGCTTTCTGGCGATCAGTGTTCAAACCCAAGTGTTGGCAGCAACACTTTATTCCTATATGACAAAATTAAATATGCCATTCAGAAAAACCAAACAGCTCCAGTTTGCCCTTGACTACTAAAGACAATCCCAAACTTAGAACTTGGACCCTTAAACCTCATGATCTTAATGCTGCCTTTACTGTTAAGATGAACTCCTACTTCTGTTTGTTTCTTACTGCTTAAAATTTCAAATTTCACCGCTAATAAAAGTAAAAATATGCATGCATATATACAAAATAAATTACAGCTAACATTTCAAAATGTAAATTGTGTAGGTATTTGTTGAAATAATTCAATCAATTCAAATTTTAAAGAGTGACAACATGTAGCACAGATTTCTTCAATGTCTGCCCAAAATATAGCATTAAACTGACAAGGATCAACATTTCCTTTAATAGGAAGAAAAAAAAAAAAAATAAAAATAAAAAGGAAATCTTTGTAATAAATACAAATCTAGAAATAAATCATATACTTTTATGAATATTCATTAATTAATTCAGTTATGAATATATAAAGTAGAAAATGTGGCAAAGATTGGAAATGAATTTGTTTTCAGAAATTAAAAGATAAGTTTTAAATATTAAGAAAGAATGAGAAAATTTGCAAATGCAAAAATCCAGAAATATAACAAAAAAAATAATCAGGCAACTTTTAAAAATATAAAATGTGAAAAGAGAAAAAAAAAAAAAAAAAAAAAAAAAAAAAAAAAAAAAGAAATTGTTTTCTCTTGGAACAAAGCTAGAATATAAAGTAGGAAAAACAAAACAAATAAACATTAGAAACAGCAAAATGGTAAGGTTTTCCCACAAGTGAACAAAATTTGAAATGTGTTTGAGCTGAGTAGTGAAATAGTGTTAAGTTCTATTCAGAAAAATGATCAGTGACACTTAAGAATCAATTTCAAATCAGTAGAAAACTCATCTGTAAAAAAATAAATAATGAAAATCTTACTGATAAAAAAAAAAAAAAAATGGATAGTAATTGAAGCTTCTAAGATTTACATGTAGTTTAATAATGCAATAAGATTTCTTTGGAAAATAAATCATTCAAAAAGGGGGGAAAAAAAAAAAAAAAAAAAAAAAGTGAAAAAAAAATTCCAAGTAAACCATGATAATGATCATTCATTTATCTTTGTAGAAAATTCCATCTTCGACCTCACATCCAGTTTCTCAACTGTCCTGGGTATGACAATAAACTACGTCTGCATCCTGGGTAAGATGATAAACTACGTCCAACAGGAAGGCCTCTGATCAGGAGGTTTTGAGGAGCGTGGAATCACCTCTTAATTGCTGATGTTTCCAGCTGCACCCTGACCTGAGGTGGTAGTACCTGTTAGGGTCCCAGATATGGGCAAATAGTTAACCCACAAACTTGGGTCAAAACACTATGAAAGTGTAAAAATAGATTTTAATACCAGAAATACTTTTTGTAAAAAAATTGCCAGCAATACATTTTTGAAGGAAAAAATATTACCAAAAATTGATTTATGAAGGAAAAAAATATTACCAGCAACAAAAATTTTGTTGGCATTAAATAAGCCATTGAGGTTGATATGCCGTAAAACAAACCAAACTATTGCTATGAATCTATTTCAAAATTTTGTTGGCATTAAATGACCCACTGAGGTGTTGATATTCCATAAAACAAAACAACCAACCAATCAACTAGAAATAGATTTTTGGAAAAAATATTACCAACAATGAAAATTTTTTTCAGTATTAAATAACCCATTGAGATTGATGTGTTGTAAAACAAACCAAACCAGTTTCTTAAATTCATTAAAACATTTGCATCCTTCCAAAATTTCAAGCTTACAGCTATATCACATTGAAATATCAGTTCTAGTACAATCACTGAAGCAAAGCAATGTTGAGCCTGGTCAGTACCTAGATGGGTGACCACTTGAGAATACCAGGTGCTGTAAACTTGGATGCATGAGTGATGTATGGATAACGGCTTGAAATTGAAAATTGGAGGGCCGTGTTCCAATTTCAGTTAGGTTTGTTATATTCACATGCATAAATACCCTTGAGGAAAGGCTTCTCCCAGCTATGGGTTAATTAGCAATAAATCATTATCCCTATAAAATTCATACAATTTAAAAATATATTCTGTCTTTAAATAACCTACAAAAGGTTGTTAAGCCATAATAAAAAAAATCAAAAAAAAAAAATCAAAAATTTCAACAGAAACAATAGCTGTTTATGAATTCTGTGTAATCATTGTAAAATTCAAGCAACTCATTCTCTTTCCTAGTATTTTGAACTCAGTATTTTTATTCTGGTAATTTGCTGTTGTCTACTCTTAAGATATTCCAATTATTCTGGTATTGATATGATATTTTATAAAGACATGCTTAGTCAATACCAGAATTGAAACAAGTCCTGTGATCCCTGGTTGATTGCAATAACCATTAAGCTACCACTAATCATTGCCTACATCAAACTATATTTACAAATGGCAAAAGTAAAAACAGGCCACCTAGAATTGTAAACTGTAATGACTCATTAGCCTGGCAAACAAAGCTGACCGAGCAGTTTTAACGCTTAGTCCTCTCACTAGTCATTGCATTTCGAGAAAAACACAATTTTCCAAATTCCCATATGTGCAAAATGCAAATACTTGCATATAAAAAATGCACTAAGTTCACATCTAATAACAAGTAAAAGAAAACCACTGTTATAAAACCTGCCAAGAAAACCATAATTCTATGGCCAGTTCTTAGTGCTAAAAAAATATGTATCAAATTCTTGAAAAAAAAAAAAAAAAAAAAAAAAATTCTTTATGAATTAGAAAATCAACATCCAATTGGGAAAGGGATTATATTCAGATTCTAGAAATTGACTATAATCATTATATGTTTTAACTCCTGAAGTTGACTTGCTAATACTGTACTAATTTCTTTACATACTTTATAAGTATAAAATCAGCTTATATCTGCAGCTCCTAAAATATAAGTAAACAACAAAATTAAACACCTGACCACTAATCTCTTAATCTCAGGAATGTCAAAGAGACTTGTTTGAGTTCAATTCAAAATATAAATATTTACAAGTTTTAAAAGGAGTTATAGAGCAAATAGTTTTTACTGGTGTTGCCCTCATTATTAAATTTAATGTCATAAAAGGAAAAACAGTTCAGCTGTAGAAGACAAAGTCAACCAATTTGTAAAGCAAAATTAAAAATACACCGAATAAGACTAAATTGTGAGGAAAAATCTGACTTCATCCATCATTAACACCCTACTGTCCACTACATCTTTCCCTCAGTTTTTATTTTGACACTGAAAATTCCATGGACACATAATGAGGGAGTAGGGCTTAGAAAACTTAACCCTCACATGGCATATTGGGGACAAGAGAGATAGGGGAAGGCAGTGAGCCATTTACTTGATGAGTTTGGGTAAACGAATGATGGAGGCCTTAGTAAAGGGAAGATAGAATGTTGTGGAGATTCATGATTGCCTATGTCCTGAAAGGGGTGTGGCACATAAAAGAAAAATCATTAGAGCCTTAGCCATTTCCCTCTGGCTTACCATTAGACAGAATCTATCCCCAAGTGAACAAATTTCCAATGAATTAACAACAGTTAAATCTATCATTGGTCAACATGAATTTTGGTGCCAAGAAACAAAACCCATTTTTTAGCTAATTTGAGGGTGCTGATTCTGAAAATGACCTTAGTTTTTCATGGTTAGCTACTGTTTTTGCTGTAATGAAATTACTCATTTTTGGAAAAAAGGATCAATTTATGATCCTGGCTGATCGTAAAATTTTAGTTAATAAAGGTTGTAGAAACCCATCATTTTTCAGGTAGGCCAAGCAATTTATGTCAGCCACCTGAAATAACTCATTTTTCTTACAAAAAATAGTTTTTTGAGAAAAAATTTTTAAAATAGATGTACCAAAGTTTTCCAATTTATCACCAAAATTCAAATTAACTGATAAACTTTATCAGTAATACACTTTATTTAGTAAACCTGATAATTAAGGTGACATCAAAAAAAATTAAAACCCTAAAATCTTGTTTGATATTTATAAATTTATCCCATCACTACTACAGAAGGAAACCAAACACATTGAGAGCATTTTGTTTTCACTGCTGGTAAGAAACTCCAACTAAAGACATCCCAATTGAATGCATCTATTCTATTGTACATGATACTGTTGGAGTATCAAAAGGGACTTAAATAACATTGAATGTTACAATCAAGAAAGAGAAATTTTATACCATAGTTCTTATGTTCACTGTTGTTAGTTTATTAAATGATTTGATGAAAATACTTGTTGGTATTGGTATATTCAATTGTGCTATCTTTAAAGACTTGTCTTATTTTATCGCAAAAATAGTATTTCTCAATAAGCAGACCAATATTTGTTGGTTTAAATACGAATTGAGAGGTTTCTATGATTTTATTTTGAGAAATATTGCCATTGGTCAATGTCATATATACAGAAAACAAATGAAAAAAAATGAGGCATTTCTGTACAGCAAAAACAGAAGCTAATCAAGAAAAAATAAGGTCATTTTTAGATTCAGTGCTCTCACATTAGCTAAAAAAAAAAAAAAAAATAATATATGTTTGGTGTCTCAACACCATTTCAAGAATTTGTTTTTGTTGACCAGTGTAATTCGTACTGGGCTCAGTAGGTGCAACAAAGTACTAGCAGTAAGAGGTCTAAAGCATTAAATTTGATTATAAAACCTTATCACCATAATGTTGAGTTTTTTTTTTTTTTAATATTGTCTTCCTTTAAGACATAGGCAATCATGGATCACCTTTTCATTAATATCTGTGAATAGCCATGACTTCCCGAGAAAGACCCATCCTGGGTATGATGATAAACTACATGAGACAGCAGGGCCTTTAACAGATTGCTGTTGTCCTCAGGTCTACCCTGACCCTGGATGATGGCACCTGTTAGGTCCCAGCTAGGGGTAAATAGTGAACTCCACAAACTAACACTATGAAAATATAAAAATGCATTTTATAAAAAAAAAATTACCAACAATACATAGTTATAGTAGAATGACCAACAATACATTTTAAAGCAAAATGACCAATGGTACATTTTATCTGTAGTTGAAGGCATACAAATTTGTTCAAAATATATATCGTTGAAGCTATAAGATTATGTTCAAAATACTTAGATTTCAGCATTAAATAACCCATAGAGATGTTGATATGCTGAGAAAAATCAACCAACAAACTGAGAAAGACTGTAGTAGTTTTTCCATTGCTTTCACCATGATTTTGAATTGTATTCTAAGAGAGCTCCCACCTAAGTCTAGAGAGCCAAGTCTGCCCTACTATTTAACTTGCAGCTGGGGTTAATGTCAATTTGGAGATGAAATGACAACTAAAATAACAAAGCATTGAAAATCGGAGATTCATGTAAAATTAACCATGACAATAAAAAACCCATTTGTAGATGCATAAACATGGAACTAAATAAAAAATTGCTTACATTGTACAAAACAAAGATTTACTAAATTTATTCTTCTCAATTGCTCATGGTTGTTAATTTCCTTTATTTTGATTTTCTTCCCTAGACAGTGCTGATACCATTGATAATTGACACAAATAGGAAAAGAAAACCATTATCTTACATCATTAACACTCTGGTAAACTCATTAAAATTAAAGAATTATCAACTTCCTTATTTTTATTTTCAAATATTTTTTTTTCCTTTTAAAGCAAGTAAATTCAAGATTAATTTCTCAGCCTGCTCTTGCTGTTCAATGATATAGATACCATTACAAGTAATACATATTCTTCCTTGCAAAAAGAAATTAAAAAAAAAAAATGACTTGCTCAAATGGCTACAAATTGTCTCAATCATAAATGACAGTGTAAAACAAAGTGGCAGTGAACACCAGAATTTTACCAAATTCTCATAGATCCAACAAATGGAAAAGTACTGCATCTGATAGACCAACAGAGTGAGACTTCATTTTTATTTTTAAGAACTGATCAGGGATATAGAAATAATTTTTTGAAGAGATACTATTATTGTAAAGTCATCTATTTTTCAAACAAACATGCATACAGATGTTTAACAATATGAATAGTTTTCATTATCAATGGCTCATCAAGCAAGCTTACAAATCACTGCAACAGATGTTTTTATATAAGAGAGAGGGAGAGGGGAGATAACTAGATGGCCATTCAAAAGTATTCACTTGGGTTAGCAACAAAATTTACTTTTCTATATTTGCTAAGGTTTAAATTTAAATCATGGCTAACTAGAAGATAAATTATAGAAAGCAGAAAGTTCAGTGCCAAGACCAGATAGTCATCTAGAAGCCGTCAAGAGCTTGCAGCCCCAGCCAAGATAAATATCACTACTGTACAGGGAATTGCAAGGTTCTTATTTATATATCTTTTTAGAAGTTTATTTTATCACTTGGTAAAAGAACAAAATACCTAGTAATGGTGACACATCTGTGCTCTTAAAATCAATATGCAGGTAACAGATGGAAGTTTGAGGGGTTATAGAATCAAGTCACAAAAATAAAATATACACCAGGAATGTAAGGTAGATGAAAGAAATCCATCTGTAAAAGAAAAAAAATAAAATTTGAAGTTACATTATATTATTGTGTAAATACCAGTGGATAAATCTATATAAATAAAAAAAATATAAAATAAAAAAAATTAAAACAAACATGAAATAAAAGACAAAAAAGAATAACCAATGCACCAAACACCCACTTGTAAAATCAGAAAAATGTACAAATGCCTACTAAATGGTAATTACTTACAAAATAATGTAATATACAAAGCTATGATAAAATCCAAAGGAAAGAAAAAAAAAATGAAAAAATACATATATATAAATAACATAAGGTAACTGAAAACAGAAGCTATTCATACAAAACATTTTTTAATAAGAAAATTCTTCAAAATAAATCAGAAAAAAA